GTGTGGTTAATATTCTGCATTTTAATACATTTAAAAGTGATGGGTCTATTTTGAATAGCAAGACTGAGTAGCCTGTTTTCTCTGAATTACTTTTAGCTCATTTCTTCTCATGATACTAAGAGGGCAGCTATCATGCCAACTTTACTCAAGACTTGATCTTAAGGGACTAGTGAGGCTTTCTCAGTTTCCAGCAGCATTAACATTTTGGGCCAGGTAATTCCTTGTTGGGGATTGTTCTGTGATTCGTAGGCTATTGGCATCCCAGGCTTCCACCCAGACTTCCACGCACTACATGCCAGAAGCAGCCCCAAGCCACTTAGGACAAACAAAAATATCTCCAGGCATTGCCAAATGTCTTGCACAATATGTATATATAGAGAGGTAGGTAGAGATCCTAAGTTTTAGGCCAATGTCACTACTTGACAGTCAGCATTTATTTTATTCTCTACTGTTTAACTTACCATTTCCCTGATTGGACTGGGTGTTCGAAGGCAGGGAACATGTCTCATACATATCTGTATCTTCTCTGGCACTTTGTACAATGGGCACCTGCAGGGGCTTGTTAACTACTTGACCTTAAGGCAGCCTATTGGTGTATGTTACTGTCTAGTCCTATCAAAAGGTGAGTGTCACGCTCGGCTTCCTTCTTGATGAATAAAAGTCAAAGTAATTCCTGTCAGACTGGTGTTAAGACGCATTCTCTCTCAGCACCTCTTCATGTGTCTGACTGCGAGGCAATAAAAAGGGTCAGCAAAATATCATTATATAGCAAGCAAGGAACAAGTACTTTATTGTAACTTCCTGGTCTACAGGTAAAAGGTAGTTTTTTTGGGTACTAACAGAATTAAGCAGAGGAGGAATTTCAAGAGTACTAGCAAGCTGTAGGCCTTAAGAGACTGGAGGCTAGGATTTCTAGTGCCAGAAGGTGGCGCCAGGAGAGTACTTATTTCCTGTACCAAAACAATCATTTCCCCCAGAAAGATGCAGGGGAAAGAAACGGAGTCCTCTTCCACCAAAAACCATTCACCAACCGACTATATGTTACTGAGCACTGACTGGTCCCCGCACTGGGTAAGAGACAAGACTTTTTTTCTCATAGAGAAGTTACTGGTCTTTGTAGGTAGGCATGACCATTTACAACATCAAATACACTCTTTAATTTCTCACAGGCCTTGGTTCTTTTTCTCTTCACCACTTCAGTTGTCCATTTTAGGGAATGGTTAAATAAATGATGAAAGAGAGATTCTCTTGCCCTTCTGTGACTATACAACTGCCTTTTTTCTTTTTCCTTTTCCTAATAAACCTGTCCTTTTAAAATATAAAATAATAATCATAAATTATGAGAGATATAGCTATATGCAGAATTTTAGTGGTGGTTTCCATTTTTTGTCTGCTCAAACAATTGCCATTTCCTAACAGTATCCCACTTCTCTCATGGGTTGATTGCTCATTGTATACACTCTTCAGAGTGTGGGGTATGAAGTCTAAATGCTTCCCTTCCTGATACAGGGGGTGAATGGGCCTATGAAAGATCTTTCCTTATGTCTAGTGGGAAGGATATGAGATCCTAAACTTCTTCCCTCTGGGTTTTGAATCAAGCCCAATGATGGAGGAGGTCTGGGGCAAGACTTTTAAGGATTTCTACCTACAAAGAGTTTTCCTTTATTCCTGCCTTTGTCAAGCCAGTTGGGTTTTCATTCTTCCATTCAACCCATCTCCTTTCTGGAAACTCCTTTATGTTGGCCAACCAGGTGGGTTTCTATTGCTTACAACTAAAAATTACTGACTGCATCACTCACAGACATTTAGAAAATACCTATATTGCATCTGAAAAAGTAAGACATAAAATAGGGTGTAAGAGAGTGGGCCCACGTTGTTCTGACTTTCAGATAAAGAAGTGTAAGAATGTAATCCTTTTGGAAGGATACACAAGAAAAGTATTGAAAGGATGGTTATTATGGGGAAATAGGAGTGAGATCTAGGATGGAAGACTTACAATTTTGTTATGCCCTTTCTTTTTTAAAAATCACACATGTATTTATCAAAAGCTCTCTAGACAACTTGCGTTCTGTGATTTGCCTGTTTTAGAAAGCGCTTGACTATCTGTAAAGATTCCTTTCAGGACCAACATTTTGTGCTTCTCCCATGCCAGGAGCCTTTTCCTAACATCCCCAGATTAGTTATTTCAATCGTTTGGATTACTTGGAATCATATTATTTTACTTTAATTGAGCGATATCTTATTAAAGCAAACCCTTGCACCTAATGCATTGAAAGGGGAACTCCAGCTGCAATTTTTCCATCTGCTCCAAATCTTTTGGGTGATGACCCTTCTTGAAGCAACTTCCTTTTGCTTCAACCTTTCCTTGTTGCTTCCTCAGAGAGTGCCATGGTTACCAGGAAGCAGGTAGAAAGAGTTTATTAGGAGAGTAGCCAGATGAGCCTGGAGTAAGGGAAGATAACATGGACAGTGCTTTTGATCCTGATATAAAAAAGCAAAACTGGCATGATGTGAAGGACTGAAACTGGTAAGAAAAAGGAAAGAACAGGTGAAGTGCCACGATATTTTGAGGGATGAGGATGGACACAGGAAAGCTAGAGGAAGTGGGAGGAAGGAGACAGTATGCTCTAAGACCGAAAGCATACCAGAAAAAACCCAAAACTCCTCTGAATTATTTCAGAGAAATTTAAACATTAGCTTTTTGTACCTTCCACAGTTCTTCAGCAATACCTCATTTTACAGCATAGGAATGGAAGGACTGGACAAATCTCCCCAATTTATAGGCAGAAAAGCTAAGGCTGAGAGTAACTTGCAGGAAGACATCTGGTGATACTTCAAAGAGACACTGGGGTCTGTTGGCAGGTGCTGCTGCTAAAGACACTTTCTGCCCTCCTTGTTCACTGCTTTCCTTGACTGTCAGAGAAATATTTTCCTAAGAATATTCTTCCCTTGGGTCCTCCCTGGGGGCGCAATGGGTTAAAGTGCAGCACTATGAGGCTAACTGCAGCCAGTTCAGCATGAGTTCCATGGCACAGCAGCCCTCTCCTGTCTCCCCCACTGCTCCCCTCAGCAGTGTACTTCATCAGTCTGCCTGTTCTGCTCCCCACTCTGTCTCTAGTGAATCCTCTTACTGCCCCTGCACCTCTGGCCTCTACCTCAGTTCTGTACAAATAAATAAATCTTAAAAAAAAAAAAAAGATTGTTCCCTTTACAAGTTTTTAAAGGTGTTTCTAGCACTGGAGGAATGTAGGTCAGGTTTTCTTTTGAGGGGCTCTTAACCCTAGCAATGCAGATACAGGCTGTTCGTATACAGAATCCACTTAGATTATGAATGTGCTCCTACCGTTTACATGTGTTCTGAACTCAATTTTTTTAACCTATTAAAAACTACAGTGACAAAATTCATTTATTTACATTCCTGTAGCAAGCATCATACTTTCTTGTTCTCTCCTAACTCAGGTAGTTAGTAAGAACCGGGGTGTGGAAAGATTGCAGATCCCTACCAAGCAGGATTCTGGAGCAACTGTAGCCCCAGTTTCTTCTCTCCTGAACTGCAGTTGCCAAATGTGATATAATTTTTACTCATGTTTACTTGCTAGCCCATGAGTTCTACAGCAGAAATCACGCCTGCATGATTATGCAGTCTCTAGCATGCCGCCTGCAAACTGCTCAATGATGAATACTCCCCATCTTCAGCTGATCAATAATTTTAACTCTATCAGCACATACAGGCCACAGCAGGGTCAAAGCCTCGGACATCGCCCTTGGAGTCCTACCTGAGCAAAGTTTTTCTTTTGTTGATCGATAAATTTGAATGTTTTAGTCACAGAAATGGAATTATTAACTGGGTCTTATATAATTGCTTTGAGGGTCTCCTCCCCTAAAGTCCAGCCAGTTACTACAGTGGTTTCAGGGTTCCTTTTCTTTCCTGCCAAATCCACTGGTACCTCCTTTTCAGCAAGTAGGAAATCCTGATCCTCTCCTGAAATATGGCCTCTCATACACTGGGCCGAGAACCTTAACCAACCTAAGATGCCTTGTCTGTCCTCTGGGCACGCCCCTGTGGACACAAAGACTGACTCTAAGCCAGATGACCCTTCTTTCTAATTGATTTATTGGGTATTGCCATTGGAAATGGCTTGAAAAGGGGCAAAATGTTCTGTTGGACACATACATTCACTCATCTCAGTAGGAAGGAAGCTTGATGTCGGGGAAACATTGCCAGCACGCTGAGGGACCCACCCACTGATGCAGTTATTATTCTAACTTGTTACTGATATGAGGACAACTTCCTAGTTACATATTGATTGCTATAGAATCTTGTTTGCCAACTGCTCCTGCTGTAAGAGTAGGGGAGAAACAATGAAAGCATAAAGTAAGGAATAGTAAGATAATTCCCAAGGCCCAAATAAAAAGCTAAGGAGTCCTATAACTTCACTCACAGAGGCATTTAATCCTCTGGTAGTTTTTCTAGCAATTTGGGTAGAGTTATACTTGTGAGGACAAAATCTATATATCTGTATTTATCAGAAGGGCCTGATGGAGCTGATTTTATAATAAGATTACAGAGATTATTTCCCAATGTGATTTGGTTAAATGTATGAATCCAAAGAGAAACTTATCCATTCTGGAGTAAGTCTTCTTGAAAATAGTTCTCTTCACCTCTTCCCCTTCTAGTTAGTGTAGAAACAAACATGAAGATTGAACAAAACTCTTTGCAGGTTGAGGCTCACTTATTTAACTTTACAAAGGACACCAGGCTTCCTTTCTCATTTAAGGACCCAGGAGACTAGAGCAGAGTTGGGAGGCCAGAGAGGCACATGACTAAACTTTTCTCACTAACTTGAATTTGTAACTGTTAGGAAAGGCTTCTCACTGGCAGCCTGCTTTTTGGTAAGGATGAATGTATTTAAGCAGCACTCCCACTGTACACTTACCTTTTTTTTTTTTTTCTGGGAAAAGGTTGAAGTCTTCCTAGTTGCAAAATCAAGACAATCACAGTTGCACATTTTCCCAAATCTTTGGCTGTATTGCAATGGTTGTTTCATTTTGTAATCTCCAACTAAACATTTCCTAACCATGGATTAACAATATAGTTACTGACTGGTTTCTTTTTAACAGTATTTATCCAACATAACAAAATAAACTGCAATTTGTTATACTTTTTTTTACAAAACATTTTATAAATATTTTTACAAAATGTATACAAAGCAATTTCAAGTGAGACATACTATACAAATGAAGGTATTTAAGCAAATAAAGCCCACACCACACTGACAGTGAGTGACGCGTCCTCTGTAAGTCAAGTCAGTCTGTAAGGCCTCCCTAATCTAACAAAGTCTACTAAATTCTTCAGAGCTAAAATAGTTCTTTTTCGTAATTGCCAGTTTAAAATTTGCTTTATCTTTAGGCAGTACTTAAGGACACAGAAAATCAAATGCTTAATAACAAATTCACACTTTTCCACAACAACAACAGAAAAAAAAAAAAGAAAAAAGAAAGAAAATGATTTTTGTTACCGTTACAAGGAGTTCTAAAACTTAGCTTTGACTAACGAACCTGAACAAGTGAACTGGCCATCTGAGGCCGAGCTCTCTCACCCTTCACCAGCGGGGGCTCGACATGTGAGTTATGACCCATGTGCACTTAACCTAATCACAGGAGTAAAATACATTTCGTAATCTTCATTTGTCATTATCTAGAATCTTTCCTCATGAAAAGCAAACTTACATACAAGGACACAAATAATTTACAAGTTTAATTTTGGTAAATTAGGCTCTCCACTTGCTAGACAAGTGTTTGGGCTTTAAAACCCTTTAAGATGGTATATAAAAGCAAGGATTGGGGAAGAGGGTAGGATGGGGATCTACAAGAAGCTTATCTTGTCTCTTAAAAGTTCCACTGATTTGCAGTAATTAATGTAACTCAGTAGCCTATGCGAAGGCTTCCAGGTTTAAAGTTCCACAATGAGAAAAATTTGATCAGGAGGGACCACCTTTAAATTTTGCTAGGAATTTATGGGAGCATGAGCCCTAAGAGAAGAAGAGCCTATAAAATCATGGGGTTCAGGGCAGGGTGTTATCCCCGGGCTGCCCAAACAGAAAGTTCCAACTGGCAATATCAACTTATCTTTCTAATATGTTACAATATAGGAAAAAGGGGGAATCTGCAACTTGGACATTGGCACGAATGAGGAAAAAATGGTAGCCCCCAAAAGGCCCAGATTTTCCAATTTCTATTGGCGGGTGGTGGGGTGGGGAGAAGGTCCTTTGCTTTTCTAAGACTGGCTGTCTTGTGGGGTTTCTTTGCATGGTAGGGACAAGGGGCAGGGAGCTATAGGTCTTCTGCTGCCATTTATTCCCCCTACTAATCAGAAGCTTTCCTTTCCATCACAGGCCAATCTGGAAAAGAAATGCCCAACATGATGATAATTGTGGGGGGAGGAGGGTCATCCCCATCTTGGGGATAGTCAAAAGCAGATTCTGCCAAGGAGTCTGAGCGGAGACCAGCAGGTACACCTCCAAGGCCAGAGAGAGACAGAGCAAACGAGAGCGTGCGTACACACAAGAGGGAGGGTGAAGGTGTCCACACTGCAACTGGAATGACCTCTGGGTCGGAACAGCTCAGGGCCGTGCGCGTGCGTAAAGAGGGCACGACAAATACTGTCATGTAGCTTTGCCAATGATACGAGATAACTGATGGTTACGGTGACATTGAGAATTAAAGGAACAACAGAAATGGGGTGACCAGGGGCAGGGATACACGGAAGGGGAGTGGGTGAAGCTCCCTGAAAAGAAATATCAATAAATAAAGCAACGTTACGTTCGCTAACATGAACACAGGCCAAACACAGACCGTGACAGGGCATAGCCTTCCGCTCTCCCAAGTGGGGATCCGGGTCTGATTCTCCTCTCAGTGGTGGGCCGGCTGGTTACTTTGGTTTGTCTGTGTTTTGGTAGTGATGGCTGCCGGGGTGACTACTGTTCTCAGACAACTAGAAGCATAAACAAGGCCAAAGTCCCTTACAGTTTTAACTGAAAAATTGCAACACAGTTTTCAAATGAAAGTGCTTTTGATGCTTGGCTATTTGTTGTGGGAGAGGGTGCAAAGAGAGGTTAAATGAAATAAAACCCAGCAACAAACAAAAATATACATCATATGTTGACTACCTCCAATTATAAAATGCAAAACTCTTAGTTTTTCTCAATAGTTAACATATATATGCTTTTACATATATACATATTATATTCCTCGCGGCTCTGTCTCGGCCTCCCCTGTACACTGTGCCACTTAACTGGTTTCCGTTTTCCTTTATTTAGCCTGGTGGAATTGTCTCAAGTTGTGCTGCTGCAACTAAGGACAGAGCACTCCCCAGATGAAATTCAACACAAATACGCTGAAATGGTTGAGCAGGGAGAACCATGAGGTCTCTCCTCCAGCAGCAACAAAAAACCCCCAAAGCCACAATTTGGAGATGCAGTGGGATAGTCTTTACCGAGTAGCTTCTATCAGTCCTGTTTGATTTTCTGTAATAAGTCTGTTCCTCTCAAATGACCTCTGATTGTCAGAATTTTACCCAGGGCCAAGTGTACTGTGATCTCACTGAGTTACAGTGTTCTCAAAAAAAAAAAGGAAAAAAGAAAACCCCCAAACAAATAAACAAACAAACAGAAAAAAATGACTACAAGCACTTTCATAAACACTTGAAATGTGTAGGGCCTATCAGACTGCTTTCTAATAAGAATTAATTTTGCTCAAGGATCTCCCTGTAACCACCGCAAGTATTGCTCTTAAACAAAGAATGGGATTGAGATTAGAAAGAATAACCTGTGATGAAAGATCAAGCAGGCTGGAGACAGGAGACCGATTCCATTTGCTTTTGCCAGGAAAGAATGTAACTTGTCCGGGGTGGGGGTCTCAGGGGTGGGGTGGGGGAAGGGCTGCTGCTATTAACACTCTAGGATACTATTTACAGCTGCTTCTAAAATGGAGTCAGTTTCTACAACGCCTTCACTGTGGTCCGGGATGAACTTTTCCAGGCAGTTTTCCTGCGAAGCCATTGGAGAAAAGTTGGGGAAATCTAACTCGACGGAGCCGCTAACCGTGGGGTCACTCTGGGGCTGCCGCCCAGCTTTTTTGAGTTCCAAGATGTTCTTAAAGGTCGTTTCTAAACTCTTAGTGAGCTGGAGATCGGGCTGCGGCTCTCCCGACCCTTTCATGATGTCTGTGTGTAAAACTTCATTCTTTGGAGAATTCCTCAGAGTTTTGTCCTGGAAGGAATTGTTACACGTCATCTCCAAGTGAGAGTCGGCGAGGATACCGGAGAGTTTGCTCTCAGTACCGTGATCTGGTCTGGACGAGATTTTGCGGTGGCCGTCGGGGCCGGGCGAGCACTCGCTGGCCTTTGCGGAGTCTCTCCGGCTGGTCTTCTCTTCAGACGCGTTCCGGTAATGCACTAAGCCCACTTTGTCAAATTTCGGTGCTCTGCCGAGGCATTCCGTTTTTTTAGAAATGTTTCCTTCCGCGGAGACCACGATGTGATTAGGCACTGGATGAAATTGGTCATGATTCGTTGGTTCGGCCACGCCCGGCTTGGCTCGGTCTCTGCTCTGGGCCTTGGCGGTCAGATGTAGAGAGCTGGTTGTTTTACTGCCGTGCTGGTCACTCTTGCCAAACTGTGTCTCGTGAGCAGCTTTGTCAAGTTTGACGGAGCAACAGAAATCAGCCTGAAAACCCTCTGGAAACGGGAACAAGAAGAACATGAGTAAAGGAACATGAGCGATCCGAGGCCACAAAGCACCCCGTGGGTCAGGAACAATGCCCCTGCCTCGGTCAGTCTTTGGTGTCCAGAAAGATGCCCAAGCACAGGGCTTGAGAGGGAGCCCTCTACAGGCAACTGAGGCCGTGGTGCTACAGCTTCTAGATGAGGCTTAAGTCTCCTGGAAAAGGTAGTCCCTGGGTGACACGTGGGGAAAATCCCTGGGCGAAAAGATCCACTTTGTTCTGACCTCTAGAGTTTTTAATCACGTTTTTCTCTTAAGAGTTACTTTTAATCGGTTTTTAAAATAGATCGTTACTTTAAAACAACCCCCAAACATAAATAAGATGCTAGTATCAGCCCGGTTTCTTCCTCATAGCAAGGGGTGGGGGGTGCAGAGTGAGCTTTGCAGAGAGCGCGATTAACTGGGTTACTGTCTCTGGGCACTGGTGTGTGAGGGGCCTGGCACAACGAGCTGTACTTCGAGCACAAAACGAATGGTCAACACACCCTCAATGCCATTCACTTGGAAGGCCATTTTGAAAGGGAGAATGTGGGTCAAATCTAATCTGTTCAGACAGAAAGTGATGGCAGGAAAGAAAAGTATGGAAATGGTGTATTACAGTGAGCGCATAGGAGGCGGGGCTATGTCAGACCGATTTGTTCTCTCTTAATAAGCCTTGCAAATAGGAAGACAATCATTTATTGAGATTTAACTAATTTAGGGAAGTTTTCTGACTTCATTTGCTTCTCAAAACTAGAGAAAGATTGAGAATTTTAAGTTTACAATGGGAGAATTACTTAATTGAACATAAAATTCCAGTTTGGATTTTGTAGAATAGACCTTCACAGAGTATTCAGATTCTGCTTTTTTTTTTTTTGGGAGGGGGTGTGTGTCCCACAATTCATGCTTTTTCTTCAGGTTTCACAGTCCAAAGTTTGGTTTAGGCAGAAACTCCGAAGGACTGTGGCCTTGAGCCATGGCAGGTAACAGGGGCAGGAGCCCTCTTTAACTGTGCTCTAGTATTTCTTACCAGGGTCCACAAGTGCTAGACGCTTGTCGCGGGACAGAGAAGCTCTTTCCTCCTGGTTGAACATCCTGTCGATCATTACCATCTCTGCAGAGGGATTGATCCGCTGAAAATGAGAGTTCAGTCATCTCAGATTCCTTTTGATGTGTACAAATATCTCATTGCATTTTTGGAACACATGAAAGAATCAGATACGAGAACTGTGTGTGTGGGTTCTGGCGTGTCTCGTTTTCTCTCATTTATCTTTGTGACAACACTAAATGCATTTTTTGGAAACTGTATTTTTATGCCTTGGCACAAACTGAAAAATTACTCAAGGAGCTATGAAAAGTGGGGCTCCCTTCTTTGCCTCCCTGGGCACTACCTCCCCCACCCACCCAGAGTGTCTCCTCGGAGGACTGGCAGTTTAGAGCTGCATTAGGCACACACAAGTATTTATATTCTTTTTTCTTTCTTTGTTTTTGACACAAATGGTAGCAACTACATACACTGCTCTCTACATAGTAGCTTCCTTATAGCCTCCTTAGCTTAGTAAAACATTGAAAATAATTTCATTAGGATGATCTTTCTCACTTTATATTCGGCTACGCTTTCATTATGCTTTTTTGGAAGCCTCTCCTTAAAATCAGTTTTTTTTTTGACAGAATCAAGTCTTAAACTGTTTCTTAGCCTTTTTTTTAACTTGAAAATTCAGGGTATATATATATGTGTATATACATACACACACACACTTAAGTAAACAGAAACACACAAACATACGTACTTACATTATACTATATGTGTGGATAATGTAATTCAACTAATCACCCAACATTTTCAAATTGGTATCTACTTGTAAGAGCCCAATTTTTTTGTTTTTAAAGATTTACTTACTTATACTTACAGAACTGGGGTACAGGCCAGAGGTGTGGTGGGTGAGAGGATTCACCAGAGACAGAGTGGGGAGTGGAATAGGCAGATTGACAAAGTACACTGCTGAGGGGAGCAGCGGGCGGGTCAGGAGAGGTCTGCCACGCCATGTGGGTCAGCTCTCTGGTCGGGAATAGAACTCGTACTGCAGTGGCTTTGGAGAGCTTCATAATGCGGTGCTTTAACCCGCTGCGCCACCAGGAGAGCCCGAGCCCAATTTTTTTGTTAAGTCTATGGGGTTTTAGAACTGCTTCTAAAACCTGAGACTAGGTATTAGTCTTTCCATCAATTCCTGAGATATCTTATTCCTTTTCCAGTTAACTGATGCTTTAAAGCTAACTTTAGTTTCTATTTGGGGAATGATCGCTCAATTAGAAAGAAGAATAAAACCAATGTTAACATTTGTCATGCCCTCATCTTCCAGATGTTACTCTGACCAGTGTCACTGGAGGTGTGGCCAGTCCACCTGCTCTGGCTAACAGGCAGCAGGCAGCACTGGTGTCTCACAGGGTCCTGGCCTGCATCCTGGCTCTCCGGCTACTCTGCAGACTTACAGCTAGATGACGCTGGGTGAATTACTTAGCCCAAGACCTAATTTCCTTATTGGAACCAGGAAAACAACAGCACTGATTAAGTGTGATTGATCACGTATAGTGCTATGATTCAAAGCAAGAGTCAAATATAAGTTTTTCTACAGTCTTAAGTATCCCTGTTTCTTAAACTATGCAGAGAAGGAAAATAACTCTTTAAAATCATTTTCTCTGAATTTAGAGCTGTGGTCTGTGGAGTTTTAAGAAAAGGAAAGTGCAGGGTAGTGGAGTTTTACCATGGCATCTTCCAGGAGCAGGAATCTATACTTGTTAAGCATAGCTTGGGTCCTTTTCAGGAGCTGAGTGGCAACTGTTTCAAATTCATTGTCCACTTTAAAAAAGAAAGAGAGAGGGAAAATAGTAAGAGAGTGTAAATCATTCACTGAGTCTTTTTATTTTTTGGGACTGAAAATTACTCCATTTGGAAAAAATGTTTTCAAAGGAAAAAAGTATTCTATTGTTTGAACATGTCTTATCTGGGGCCATTCTCTCTTTTTAATGTTTCCTTGGTTAAACATCATGCTTCTGCACTGCTCTCCCTCGTTGTCCACAACACCTAATCAGGGAAACTCATTTCAATACTGGCTTACTTTAACTTTAGCCAGGAAGTCAAAACCAGAACACACGTATCATTACCTATAAAAGAAAACCATGTAATACAGACCAGTAACATAGACAATGAATAGAGAATGATCGATTAGTTTCGATGATCTAAGCCCCCTGCCTGGACTGCAGACCAGTTTTGCATAAAGACACAAACTAGTTCATGGCACCTTGCAGGTTGTGATCCTTCCTTGGTTCTGTACTTTGATGACCTCCAAAGATCTCCCATTTCTATTTCATTCTCAGTCTTCCCTTTGCTGTTTAATGCTGGATCTGGACCCTGTTCCCTGGACTTCTCAAGAGGACTGACCCAGTCCAGCTGCACTCAGATCAGAGACCCTGGTGGGGGGAGCAAGGCTGGTGGCAGCTACAGAGGGAGTAAAGCAGTGAAGGGTCTGACAGAGTCAAGGCGGGCAGTCAGGGTGGGGGGGCGGGGGTGGAACTGAGTGGCACAGCGGGAGAGGCCATGGGCTGAGTCGTAGATTGGGATCGGGGTCTTTCTGCCAATTTCTTAACATAAAGCAATGTCCTAGATTCGCTTTGGACCCTCACAGAATGCTTTGGGGAGCTAACATAAGCGTCTGACTGACCAAACTGGCAGTAACAGCTAAGAGTATGCGTTCTGTCTAAACTCAGGGACCATGGCGCAATCTCTGCATGGGGTACTGAGCCCAGAGCCTTCCTGCCTGCAGCCAGCAGTCCAGACAATGAAAAATGCTGTGAGCGTACTGCCTCAAATCTCTCCATAAAGTACACTGACATTGGGGTGCCCTTTTACAGACTATTGAGGAGAAAAAGTTATAACCCTAAACATGGATTAGGAAATTGTGTTTGTTGGGAACAAGTCAGGTGTGTAATAAAAACAACACCCTGGTTACCATCTGGGCTTCATGACTCTCCATCTTCCTTGGGGCCTCCAGGGGAGGAGCCTGGGGCCAAAACTGCCCGCTGGGGTTACAGCCCATTTACCTTTCTTCAAGTCCTCCTCAGTGGGCATGGAGCCCTGGCACACGTGGTAGGAGAGCAGCCTCTGCACCGCGTCACTCAGTGACCGGAACTGACTTTTATCTGGTGTCACAGCGTGGGCTTGGTCCCTCTGTAACTGCTGGAGAATGCTTCAAAAGAGAAAGTGCCAATGAAATGCAAAGTCACATGAAGATCTAATCATAGAGGTTATTTGCATGCACGGAAGGTAAGATGTGTAAAGGATGCTATTATTCATAGGACAGCAGTTCTGTTTTTCCTTCAGTTTTATATTTTGCACAGTATGGTGGGCGTACAGTTTGTTCTACCCATTTCCAAAGGGATTCAAACTGTGACCCTGGCCCCAGAAGCAGTGTCCTCACCAAGTATTTGCACTTAAGTACTCACAGATGTTGGCAATGCTGGACCAATGTCTAACTAAGCTTAGGGTGACAGTTCTGTCCTAAATTCGGGAGTTTATCATAAAGTTCTCAAGTGCGTGTCCCTGTTGGCACAAGGGATTAAAGCACAGCTCTATAAAGCTATCCACAGCCACTGCAGCACAAGTTCTATCTCTGGCCAGGGAGGTGACCCACATGGTGCAGAGATCTCTCCTGACTCACCCGCTGCTCCCCTCAGCAGTGTACTTCAGTCAATTTGCCTGTTCTCCTCCCCAGTCTGTCTCTGGTGAATCCTTTCACCTCTCCACCTGTAGCCTACATTTCAGCTCTTGCATGCATAAATAAACATATCTTAAAAAAAAAAAGAACAATAGAGCAAATAGTAGGCTCCAATTATATTTGATGTATTTAAAGTTTTTTTAAAAAAGATTTATTTATTTATGCTTACAGAACTAGGGTACAGGCCAGAGGTGCAGGGGTGGTGAGAGGCTTCACCAGAGACAGAGTGGGGAGCAGAACAGACAGATCGACGAATTACACTGCTGAGTGGAGCAGCGGGCAGGTCAGAAGAGGTCTGCCATGCCATGTGGATCTCCTCCGGGGCAGGCGGGAATCGAACTCATACAGAAGTGGCTTTAGCTTCTTAGTGCTGTGCTTTAACCCGCTGTGCCACCAGGGAGGGCCAATATATTTAAAGTTCTAATGAAAACAATTATAGAAGAGATTTTTAAAGTTGATTAGGAAAATATGTTATTTTCATAACCTTACTTCTGTGTGTATTTATTGAAGGCTGGGGACCTAGAGAAACGTTTGAGAGCAGTCATTTCCAAGGGTAACTTACAAAGCTCCTTTAGTTAGTTGTTTGGCAGCTGGCCTTTTCTGTCCTCCCGAATGACTGTCCACCTAAAGATAAAACACACCTGTGATTATTCCCTTTTGCAGGAAAAATGAATAGAATAGTTACACCTAAAGATCACTACATTTCAAATATTTTCAACTCCCAGTCAAGAGCATATTCCAAGGATGTAGAATGTGCCCTGTTAAAAAAGAAAACAAGTAAGTCTATAGACATACAGAAACACATGGCATCAATATTACATAAAGCACTATTAGCTCCTTGGAAGAACTCAGTTTGCACCTCAAAGACAAAGTTACCGACTCCCTTTCCAAATGTATTCTTATTATATTATTGGTACTTAAAAATTTTTTCTTGGTATATAATTAACCTGTAACATTGTATTAGTCTTTGGTGTACAAAATGACAATCTGCTATACCTATATATTGCAAAATGATTGCCACAATAAGTTTAGCTAACATCCATCACCACATAGTTATAAACAAATGCATCACAATATATTTGAATAAATACAATGGTGGGTGCCAACTCCATGAACATCTGCAAACTCAGCGGATTCCACTCAATTCATTTTGTCAGTGGTAAGTAAGGGAGGGAACATTTTTGAATTCCTGAAATATACAGTCCTGGGATGGTAACTGGTAAGGTTCTTCTTTTATTATATTAAGAAGACAAATACACTGATGTCAGAATCTGAAACCTGAACAGCTCCCTCACTGAGCACTCCAGGCAGGCCCAGACTCTAACAAGCTTCATTAAACTATTAATTCCCAAGTTTGATGAGAAGAAACTAAGACCTTTGTAAGCTGTAAACCAAATTTTCCCTTCCTATTTAGACCAACAACTTGAGTTAAAAGACCACAGGAACTGACCATTTATATTCCTCATTCCTGCTGCAGAAAAAAGAATCTCAGCACTACTCAAAAGAAGAGGCCTACTTTTGAAAGATAATGAGAGCTCTCATTTGACAGTAAATTGCATTTTTTTGAAAGCCTATGATGCAGAGGCTGCTGGCATATTATTGTCATGAAGATATGGTAGCATTGCATTGTGAGAAATAGGATAGACACAGCTGCCCTCAAAACATTTCATTACGAGCCTAGCCCTCGGGACCACTCTGCTGTGGGCGCAGGGGGTGACAGGCTGCGTGTGCAGAGGACACCAGCAGAAGATGCCATGATGCCACGCGCTGTGACTGACTACCAGAGCTTTAGAGGCAGAAGCTGTCTTCTACCTGCACAGTCGGCTGGCCGGGAGATGATCCAACTACTTTTTCTTGCTGTGGCTGTGTGGTTCCTAAGGATGCCGGTAGGACTTTGCTTCCAGAATCTTGCCCTATTAGAATTAAGGCATAAGACAATGTTCAGCAGAAGCAGAAAATCAGGTCCCTGGTTTAAGAGACCAGTGGACACAAATTACTAAACATCTCAAGAGGATGTTTAGTAATGTTTAGAAAAATATACAAAATATGCCTTTTGTATATTTTTCTACCAAAGCTTTAGAAGCAGGAGTAAGGATTATTACAGCCTACTTAGGAACAAATAGGGACGATAAATGCAAAAATAAGTGATAATCAACAAAAACTGTCAATGTTATAGTTTCAAATTATCTAAGGTCTGAGGAATAGGCCTCAAGTCAGCAATGTGTGAGTACTACCGAATCTCAAGATATTCACAACTTAAAAAAAAGGGTCAAGGAGAATGATGAAGGATGTCTTTGTCTTTTCTAGTACTTATTGATCAGGGAAGGTGTTCAAAGCTTTAGAAGAAAGGGAGGACCTAGCCCACAACAGTTTTACTTTTGGGGCTTGTAAATATAGAAATATAAAATGTAAAATGGGCATCTTTACATAGTCACCTGGGCCATATAATACTATATAATACTAAGCAGCGCATTCCTGCATGTAACTTGTCATAATTTAAGTAGAAGTGCGTTTCCTTTCTTAGGGATACAATGGTGATGCAGGTGCAACATGGTTTCTTATTCAGGTGGAAAGAACACAGCATGAAGGGATGACTGGAGTGGGGGGAGAGGCAGAGGCAGGACTGCATGCAGAATGAGGGGTGTGAGAAGAGCCTCCTGGGTGTTCGGAGGGCAGGGATGGACTGAGGAGCGTTCACTACAAAGGCTCTGACCTGGCAGCGTGGTACTCAAGAGGCCAGGGATCTGCGCTTGCCTCAGGCCATCTGTGGTCTTGGGAGCAGAAACGGGGGAAGTCTGATTCAAATTTTTTTTCTGAGCCTGTGAAAAATATTACCAAGATGGAAAAATTAGTTTCACGACTTAAAGTTATAATAGATTATGTATCACGTCGACCAAGGCTGGCTTTACCTTCAGGTGAGAATTAAGGAGAAAAGTTTTAAAACATTATTGTCCTATTACTGCAGAAGAAGCATAAAGCACGCACTGTAATATTTACAGGCCCGCTGAGCTTTCCTGCACCATTCAGGAGGGATGCTGGGTTGATACCAGCTGCTGTCTTCCGCCTGGAACCACTGGCTTGGTAGAGTTTAGCTGCAGGGGCTGAGCCTGGAACCTAATTTCTAACCCTGGTAGTTTTATGTCAGGCCTGCTAGGATTTTGAGCCTGACTAAGGCATGTTCCATTCCTGGCCTGTGGGACGTCACCAGTTCCTGTCATATCAGCCCTAGGCGGCATGTAACTGGGAAGTGAAAATTCAGCTGAATATTGGCTCAAACAAAATATTATTAGAAAAATCAATCTGGATGTTTAAACTGTCCTGCACTTCTTTTCTACAAATGAGGAAGATAAACGGATGATATTGAAGGAGTGGTAAGTTCCTTTATGCTCTGATAAGATCTGTTAATACTTTCAGTAAAACAATGAAGGGTTTATAATTATTCTCAAATTTTACCCCTTTATGTCATTACTACTTTGTAGGACAGTACATTTTCAACTTTCCCTTTAGTCATATTTTTAGTGTACCACCTGTAGGCTTAGCATTTAGCCTGCTCCCACAGGTGACTGTATCTATGATCTCGGCATTAAAAAAAAAACAAAAACAAAACACTCACATGTGGGCCTTGCTGATGTCTGTCAGTGGTCAACTAAGCTCATGTTAACATTTCTGTTCTAAACAATGAACTATTCTGAACAAGTACTGTTATCTATTTGGTTCTCTTTGCCAATATTAAAAATGAAGAGGTATGTGACATCACCCCAGAAGGTCTGGAGGTCAACACAAAGCACACAGCGAGGATGGTCAAACTGTCCGGCAAGACAGACAACACATTCTCAGGAAGAGAGTGAGGAGGGGCATATCCTCATTTTCACAGCATTCTCCCTAAAATGTGACCTCACATCCCAATAGGAGGAGGCGCTTCACTCGGAAGACACCTGTGGAGAGGATGGGGCAAACAGAGGGTAGCGGCCTTTCTTACATATATTTCCAGAGGATGAACAAACACTGAAGCCTGACTTGAAAAATAAACAGAACTGATAAAAGTTGGAGAAATGTGATTTAAGATCTTGGACAAGGCTATATAGCTGATTGGGTCCTGAAATATGAGATCAACAGCTGAAGAACTGATCCAGGATAATATGGTCCAACGACTGACGTCCCTAGCACAGCACTGCCAGTATACAACACGTCTGGAGTTTCTTTTTTTCTTAAAGATTTATTTACTTATGCATATAGAACTGGGGTACAGGACAGAGGTGCAGGGGTGGTGAGAGGATTCACCAAAGACAGAGTGGGGAGCAGAACAGGCAGATTGATGAAGTACACTGCTGAGGGGAGCAGTGGTGGGTTAGGAGAGGTCTACCGCTCCACGTGGGTCAGCTTCGGGGCAGGCGGGGTTCGAACTTGTGTTGAAGTGGCTTTAGCTTCTTAGTGCTGTTTATCCACTGCACCACCAGGGAGGGCCCTGGAGTTTCTTTCAATAAACTTAGTTCACATGATGGAACAGAAGCATACTGCTAAGCATACTGTTTAGGAGAAAAGCCTTTTTTGGGGATAAAAATGGCATTTCTCATACTGACCCCCGACTCTCTTGTTCAGATATGACCTGGAGTGACCCCTTAATATTAATTAGACCAATAAAGCACAGTGCAAGCATATATAAGTAGTAAAAGTATAAAGAAAAGCAAAGAAGAAATCACCAGAAAAGTGAGAAGGGCTGAGGGTGGGAAGGCACATGGTGAGGGTGGTTCCAAGGCTCTGGCAATATGCCATTTCTTGAGCCAAGGCGGGGTGTGTGTGTGGGGGGGGTGGGGGTAGGAGGGGGGATTTCCATGAATACTGCTTTATAACCACTAATTTCATATTTATGTTTTATGCCTTTTCTAAGTGCATTCTACCTTACAATACAGGAGCATAAGAAAAAAAAAAAACCAGAAAAATCGAATCTAATGTCAAAACTTGAAAAAGTTGCCATTATTTGATGGTATTTTATGAAGGAGTACTGGTCTCTAGAACCAAGTTGCCCTGTGTAGGGCAGGCCCCTTCCACATGCTCTCAGGCTCCACCTTTTACAGCTATGGCCACAGCCCACCTGAGTAGGAGTGAGGTTGGCACCAGTGTGTTTCATCTTCTGACTAGTGCCTGTGCCATCACTGTCACCCACCCTTTGGGACTAGAACAATCCAATTGTTACACTGTGGGGTGGGAAGGCCTGGAGGGCAGAAGAGTCAGGTGCTGCTGCGGGAGTGCTCTGGCCCTGTACAGAGGTCTGGTCACCCACCTGCACATCAGGAAAGCTTTGCTGCCGTGGGACCCTCTCTGTCTCCAGTTCACTGGGCGCTCCCAGCCCTCCTTTTTTGAGGGCAGGACTTTTGGTTTATTGCTCTACCAGCACTGTGTGAGCACACAGTGGACAGTTGTTAAAGCTATCAACCTGCTCCAATTTCCCCCAAATCTAGGTTGTCCCCATTCTTTTCTAGAAACAAAAGTTATCATTGTATTGATTTTACTGAACTCTTGAGAAAATTTGCTTTGAAATATACTTCTTTCACTAGTAGTGATAGGATATTTTTCTGAGAATCTGCCTCTAAGAACTCTGCTGATATCAATGCACAATTTTAATGTTTTAAACCTGATGAATTAAGCCCATCTTGGTGGTGCAGGGGTTAAAGTCTCAGTGTTGTCAAGCTGTTGCCAGCATGAGTTCAATCCCCCACCTGGGAGCTAACAACCCATATGGCTCAGCAGACTTCTCCTGGCTCATCTGCTGCTCCCCTCGGTAGTGTATTTCAGTAGCTCGACCTGTTCTGCTCCCCACTCTGTCTCTGGTGAATCCTCTCACCCCCCTGCACCTCTGGCCTGTACC